CTAGCTAGAGGCCAACGCAGCTTAACTAGCTAGAGGCCAACGCAGCTTAACTAGCTAGAGGCCAACGCAGCTTAACTAGCTAGAGGCCAACGCAGCTTAGTGAGCAAAAAACTAAATCGCTTTGATGTCAATTACGAATCCCTGCACTCAGCTTTTTGAGCTGTCCTCTGAGCCAGGCCACTCCACGCTCTCTGTTGAGCCTGGTTAAACCAGCTGTATAAGCTTTTTGTACCCTCAACCTGGATGGAGCCTTGCCCTTTCACTGCCACTCTAACTCATATCCCCTTGAATACAAAGCTGCCAAAAGATCAAGGAATAGAAAAAAGGGACCCGTAACACAGGAAAGCGAAACCAAAGCCAGCTCTTTGGCTATGGAAGCATCAGGAACAAAATAAAACAGACCGACAATTTGTATCACACCCTGAGTCTAAAATGATGTGTGGAAAAAAACGTATTACTATTGGATATACTCCTGCTTAAAGCATTTAAGACAATAAATGTTTGAAGTTTGTTTTTTGAGGGTGCCGGGAAAGAAAAGTAAATGCATTAGACTTTTCTGTAAGGAATGGCATTTCTCCTTCACGTCAGTGTGAACAACCCACTGAAAAAATGGCTATTGCTTGGTCTTATGATAATGCTGCTAAAATAAAGGTTAAATGTCCGGGCCAGCAGTTCTGCATGGCCCAGGGGTGACCACCATGAAGTCACATCACTGTCTTCAAGGGTTATCAAAAACACAAGAATGAAATCAATCATGTTAAATACAGGCGAAGCTAATGAAAACACAGAATGATCGACTCAAGGGATTTGTGTGGGAAATGGTCACTTTCCTGGAATATAAGCTCATTAGACATGTTTAGCTTTACCATTTTTAGTCATCGCTGAGATAAATGAGCTTACCCTTTGCCCTCAGAAGAGCCACCGGAGGAGTCTTGCCTCGGCGGAGGCAGCGGAACGGGACGGTTCCAAAGCGCCCCATCCCGGTGCATCGTGGAGCTCGGCGACGCACCGCAGTAGATCTCATTGGAGACCATCTCTAAACCACCACTTGAAGACACCGGGGAGAGGACAGGGTAGTGTGACGGGGACTCCACACGACACCTGGGTGATCCGGGAGAGCCGGAACGTGGAGGTGTGGGCGGAGGCTCCTGGTCCATCCCTACGGGGGACAACCGGCCACGAAATGTGGCAGGCGGCACGCCCCGGTTCATCCGAGGAGGGACGGGAGGAAGAAGCCCTCCCGAATCGGGGGCAGAGGCACAGTTAAGCAGCGGTCCATCGAAGGAGCCTCGTTTGTAGCCCAGGCCTGGTCCCTCTGGGGTTGAGGGCTTTTCACTGACTGGAGATCCTTCAAGTGTTACAAAGCACAGTGATTCCAAGGAGGGTTCCCTGGGAATATGGGGTTCTGGAGACTCCATCTTGAGTTTGGTAAACACAGTCCTGGGCTTGGGAATCGGCTTTGACACCTCATCGCTCGACTCAACATTTGGGCCCAGGAGGGTGGATGGGATATTTGGAACAGAATTGTTCCGGAGTAGCTCTGGAGGTGACTGATCACCCGGCACTGGAGACGTCAGTGTCCCCTGCACTGGGGGCGATGCCAGGTGGATGGCCGACTCAGACTGACAGCGGTCCAGCGAGGTCTCCCTCTCCCTCAGCCAGGCCGTCTGCTGGATTTGCTCGGCCAGTTTCAGGATGCGTTTCCTGTGGCCGGTGGCAGTCACTCCCAGCTGGTTCAGAGCTTCCTGGTCCAGGTGGATGAAGTCCTTGGCCCAGCAGACGCCGGATTGCCGAAAGCTCTCCAGGTACTTCTCCAGGTGGATATAGGCCAACAGGGCTTCCACGTTGGCATCCTCCATCAGCATATCCATGGCAACCAAACGCTTCAGGGACAGTAGACATTCAGCGACCAGCGCAGGCCAGGCGGCGGGAAGGATACCGCTCCCTCATCTGAAATTGTGAACAAATGAAGGAAGTGAGCGCTCCAACATGACAAATACAAATGGTTTTCATTCCAACGCACAAACATTTCAGGAACAATCAAGAAGAACATCTTATCATATCATGTGAAAGGATGCTCTCTTGTTCCTCCTGTCACAGACTGATATAAAGTAAGACTGAACGCCATACAGAAAAAAGCACCACAAAGTCCTTCTGGGGAACCAAGAAAGGGTGGATTTTATGGATGACATCAACGTGACCTTTATGAGAAAGGGCTCATGGGCTTCCGACCAGCTCAAAGCGATACTTCAGACACAGCTGCCCTATTGTTTCATTTAAGGGGACTGGTACGCGCCCGTTTTTTAAATTACACACTGACTAGTGTCTAGAGTGTGACCTAGGAACCTCTGACTGCAGGCAATGTCATCAGAAGTCCACAAATGACAAGATTCAGAGGAAAACCAGTTTAGAACCAAGGGATGGAAGTTTATGACTGAAACACTGCCAACTTCTGTTCTGGACTCACAACACTGAAAATGAAGGAAAGATAAAAAATCATTCTAAGGGGAATTTCTTAAAAATTACATAGACATGTGTAAACTATTGTTTATCATGATTTATTATACAGAATAAAAAACTATGCTGTAATATTGAATAATTGCTATTTCAACTCTTTTGGGTTAAATTCAAGAGACTTAATTCAATTGTTTTTACGTATTTATATTTATAAATCTGACCTGTAGATTTTAAAACAGAAAAAAAAAAAAAAAAAAAAAAAAAAAAAAAACTTAAGCAGCATCCAATTTATTTGCATGAAATGTCGATCATTTTGCGCACAACCAAAAACAGAATATCAATACCATTAAATTAAAGGCTGCTTTCCAAAGCCGGTAAAAACTATATTTTGACATCCTAAAAATGGCAGTCACCAAGATAATGCACGTGCTGTTAGGTTTCATGACAGCGTAAATGTAGACAGCTGGGGGTCAACTTTGGGTAACTGGCTCATCAGAAGATCCAAACTGCACATCAGAAGGCTGAAATGTGACAACGTTCAACCAGCCTCACAGTAATCAGCAATTATGGCCAAAGAATGTACACAAACGGCTTAAGGTGAGATACCATACAGCAGGGTTCTCCAGTTTCGGTCGTGGAAAGCTAGTCTGCAACACAGCGTGCAGATTTCCATGGTGGACTGATAAGGTGTGACTGAGCAGGGAAATCTGCATGCCGTGTTGCAGACAGAAACTCCAGGACTGGAACCCTGTTGTAGCGGAATGATGACTGAAACAAGGCTTTCACCTCTTCATGGCCTCAAACTGAGAATTAACTCCCATATTAACTACAAGCACCTCCCAGTAGGGGAAAAAAAAAAAGTTACATAAATGTTCAGTAAACAACTGAACGAAACACGAAACTTAGCGAAACTCTATTCACAAAATCTAGGTATTGTTTGAATGCAAGGCACCCTTCCCTCATTGCATAACAGTCTTTATTTTACAGACCACCAGCAGACTAACAATTAGCCATTGACAAAAAAAAAAAAACAAACCCAAGGCCAGTTGTGCAGTCTGACATTGCCAACTCTGAGCCTGAGCAATCTGGGCCCAGTCCTCACTGCCCATACACTCCATCCCGACTTATGGATCTGCCGTGGCGTGTAGCATACTTTACAACGGAGACAGGAAGTAACCAGAAGATTAATGGCTCTGTGGTCTCTGAAGCACACTGTTTATCAACACATCTCTGCTTCTGGAACAAAACAGATTCACACTGGTGTAGATTACAAGGATGTTTTTTTTTTTTACCTATCAGACCTGAATTAGTCGATAAGGGAGGACAGTTAAGATAAAGGGTTTCTTGGTAGGACTCGGTATTCAGAAACACATCCAGCTTTGCACAAATCAGCCACCAGGAAACGCCACCCACTACCACCGCTACTGAAAACATACAGGAAAAAGGACATTTCCTAATACTTAAAAAACATAAGGAAAATGTGGTGACGCTGATCTGCTTGCCTTTGCAGGAAACGGAGAACGGTGGTCTGCAGCTCAGCGGGTGGTCTGCAGCTCAGCGGGTTAAGGCCTCGATGATCACTGGAAGGTCACTGGTTTGAATCCCATGTACAGTAGAATTGGACCTGAACCCTAATCCCCCCCCCCCCCCCCTCAACAGAGAGAAGATGGCATATCTGAGAAGAAGTATTCCGAAGTACTCCTTCAAATGGCATCATTTCATGCAAACTCCACAAAGCCAGGTTAGGTGCTTCAACCTCCTGATAGTGGATATGCGAGGTGACACAGAGTCCCCCCCCCCCCAACTGATCGGATTAAGTCAAGAAGAACTGAGGTGAAGCAGAATGTTGCAATATGTCAGACCTCAAACCACAGAGTTGTGCTGTTTTCATAGAACCACAACTTTAAAAGGGAAGAGAAAAGCTTTAATCCAACCTGAGCCTGGACGGCATTAACGACAAAACCCAGAAGACAAAACAAAAAAGGACTGACTCACTCACTCACTCACTCACTGACTCAGTCATACTGGCTAGTTCACAACAAAATTTAGAAACGAATAAGAAAACAGAGTTATTAGCTTCTCCTGTTTATAAAACCCAACCCTGCTGTGTCCCACTGGGGAGGAGACGGGGGTCACATGGTCAAGGGCCAGAAATGGGGATGCTTCATCATTCGCACCCAGAAAGGAAAAAGGAGGCACAGGGGAGCGAAGGAGAAGGGGATGTGATTCACATCCTAGCCTCCTGTGAGCAGTGTGCTGGCAGGTGACCTTTGCTGCCCCACAGATTGCAGTGGGGGGGGGGGAGAGGAGGCAGGAAGCACATGGGCCTAGCTGATAAAGACTCGTTAAAGGGGGGGGGGGGCACGTCCCTTTCGCAGAGCAACTCTTGTGGTTATCACAACACAGTAGTTGTTGGAAAGGCAGACAAATCTGTCATGAAAATCCCTCCCCCCCCCCGAAGCCAGTAATAGGCATTGTCACCGTCACTATTTGCATTTTACTGAGCCACATTTGATGGAACAGTTCACTTATCTTGGGGGGTGGGGCACGCATGTCAAGACTTGCAGCCAGTCACTGGTGCCCATAGCTGCAGAGCACATGGAAACATTGGCATGACAGATGTCCCTAGTTATGTTTAATGGCATCGTGCCCAGACTTCCCAAGAACGGCTCAGATAAATGACTTCCAACAATCTACTTGTGATCGTCTTCTTGTGTTATGCAGATTCAGCTGTAGTTCAAATAACTTTAAAATTTTAACTCTTATGTCTGCTTACAACACTTCAATACTGTATTAGGTATTGGACACTCTAGCAATCCTTCTGAAATTCATTAACAAATCTAGCAAACAGGACTGCAAATTACGAATCAGCAAATTACGAATCAGCTGTAATTGCATAACGGCGGGGAGAAGCTGAGATCCATACTAGCATGTTAAAGCTCTCAATCTCACCCAGAAGCCATGAGAAACAGGCACCCTTAAACAACACTGCCATGCGTCCAATCGCAGTCATTCAGCCCCGGCCAATCAGCCGCAAGATTGCAGGCCTAACCCAGATACCCAGCGAAAAAGGTCAAATTTGTAACTTCTGCAGTCTTAAAACCACATGTTTGCTAAGAAACAGCAGGGCAACCAGCTAAGGCATTAGAAGGAAAAAAAAAAAAAAAAAAAAAGAGATAAAATTGGAGCTGCTTTGTGGTTATGTAAACACATAAAAACCATAAATCGCTCAGCGCAAGGAGCAGGAGGTCACAAACCTTCCCATCCACATCTCATCACTACGAAAACACTGGCAGCATCTCTATGTACATAAAACATGTTAATATTTTACAATTATCTTTGTATGCCGTAACAATTCAGCTTTACTGACTGACAGATAGTCAGACCCCCGACTCCTGGGTTCATTTCTTTAATTTATCGGCCGGCAATTGGCCAGCTAAGCCCTACTGTGTTAGCTTTCACCCAGTAGCAGAAACCAGCAGCTGAGGAATTCTGCAAACGCGCTGTGAGCTCCAGTTCCACTTGAGAGCCATGTCTGGAAATAAACAAAGAGGATGCCACCCCTTCCCCCCCGCTTTGACTCCCCGACACCCCACCACACCCCACCCACGTTATCCCAGTCAGATCCTAGTGACTAATCTGAGGCCTTGCTCTCTGCAGATCTTTCACGGTTCTGCTCTTGCTCGAGGACAGCCAGCGAAAAACACAGGATACAGCTGTCCCTCAAACCTCCCCCCAAAAACAAGGGCCCCCTCCCAGCCCCAACTCCCTTGAGGATAGCAGAGAAGGCACCACGTGGTGGAATAGCAGAAATGGGCTTGCCGGTCAAGCCTACGGCAGGTCAGGGCTGAGTCTAGAGTCCCTGCATCCTGGAAAAGTGGCCTGGGCCCTTCAGGCCAGAAGTCAGTCCTTCCCCCCCCCCCCCCCCACGCAGCAGCAGGCTATGGGACCAAACAAACCCAACATCTGCAGGGGCTGACAACCCACACCACAAAGCCTCTTTCTGGCCCACCAAACCTGGGAAAAGGACGGCTTGCCTCATCTCTATCCACCGCCAAGTTCGACCCACAGAAGACTGGTCCTCGTACGAGGGCTTCCTGGAAAATCAGACCGGCTTTTCGGCTTTCGTGGCCCAAGGTTCTTTCATTTTCACAGCGGACGGTGACCGTTTCCACCAATTGTCTCGTGTCCTTTCTTCCTCTTCTTCTTTCATTGCTACTGACCACCGGTTTCTGAGCCAGAGGATGTGGAGGTGCCCAAATGAGACAGGCTGACTTAAGGGTGCAGGGGGTGAAGGGAGGCTATTAGGACACCATGCTCACTTCCCTCAATATTTTTTTTAATCAGCTTCTGAATCCAGAGCAAGTTGATTACTGTCAAAACCTTCTGAGCACTGCTCCTACTACACTTTATTTAGTTTATTTCCAATAATATTTAATGAAATTTTTAGCAAGTACACATAGCAACGTACACAGCCTCAGTACCACTCCATTTTCCCCGAGCAAACAATCATTAAACAGGAACAAAAACAACAGCACATTTGTTTCAGTGGCTACAGACGCTGCCAAAGGCATGTAGTCGCAGTAAATGCAGGTCGTTAACACCAGAGAGTAAGGGACCAGGGGGAGGTATTTTTAAGTCTGCAATTGAGCTCTGACATCATGCCAGGAGACAGCTCCGCTATTTGAGGGGCAGGGGTACCATACACATAATTGATGGAGAGATCCGAACGGTCCTGGGGCTCTGGTTATCAGAATCGAAATCCTTTTATTCACCACATATGAAAAGTATGAGGAATTTATTTTGGTGCAAATGATGGCTAGAAGTGTACAATAAAACACAATCAGGATAGAAATACAAAAAAAAGGTGTATAAATAGGATCAGAAATGTACAAATATGTAACATGTACACATATAAAAAAGTGAGACATCCAGTGGGCTTAATGCACTATTAACTGGACGGCACCACGTAATCTTGTAATTCTTAATCGTGAAATTGTAAATTCAAATCAAACAATTTTTGATGACCTCGGGAGAAGTTCTCAAACGAACAAGAACTACAACAGCCGATTCGCCGGGATGGGGCAATGCCAGTGCTCTGTGCTGAGGAGATATGTGCAAGCAGGTCGCCCTGAGGGCGGTCACTTCCAGCATGGGCCAGGTGAGCAACGACGACATGAACTACAGGCCGACAAACAAACACTTATCCTGCTCCAAGGAGCCGTGAGTCACCACCAACTGTTACAAGCCTGTAACACAACTTCAACTGCAATACTGCACAAAACAAAGGAACGCATTTAACACAACAAAGGCCATTAACACAATGCACAAAATATTAGACAATCATACAAATGGAACCGCCCGCCACAGGTGTTCATCAGTATGAGCCTAAGCAATTTATGATGCAGTAATAAAAACCACTGATGCAAAACACCTTAGATTGCAACACTGAGCAGTTTTTCGTAGAAAAAAAAATACAAGTCCTTAAACTCCAGCATGTTTCAACAATACAAAATAGAAAGCCACCTTGACAAATGGCACAAGGAGATGACAGGACAGCCCATGATCTACCGCTGAAAAGAAACTTACACAAAAGATCTGGAGACGCCGCAGAGGCGCTGTAAACAAATACGGTTCCCTTCCCCTAAAAAACATAAACACAGCGTCAAGCTACTGTTATTTTGTTTTTGTGATATTCTGTAGCCTGTGTTTGTCAGGGAGAGATTCAGGAGATCTTTACTGCCAGCTCATCTACATACATGCAATGCATCAGAGATTAAATATCAACTCTATCTGACGGATAGATCTATCTATTAACAGAAGCAGTATGGTAGGTTATATTTCAGCAGATATGCGTTGCGTCGGCTCAGTGAGATTCTTCATTAAAAATAATCGGGGACAATCTAACAAAACTGTCCCAGCTTTAAAGAAATGTGTGGAAGCTTTCAGAGAAAAGCGTTCGGGGGGAAATCAAGGGCCTTTGGGGTACGGGGGGGTGGGGGGGGGATGCTGTATATAAATACAACAGTGGGCCACTATTGTGGAACACAATGCGATTTTGTTCCATACTCTGCCGGTGACTGGGCATGCTTGTCTGCAGAAAAGCCAGCCTCTTCCCTTGGTCACATTTTCGGCACATCAGACTGAGGTGGTCTGTTTCATTCAGATGGCCACCCCCCCATTTTATCCCTAATTGAGAAGAACAGCCTCAGCTGCCCCAGGTCCCCACAGCGCATGTGCCATTCCAGAGCCTTGGCACACGGGCTTTCCCAGTTCCTCAGTCTCAGGACCGCCCCCCGCGGCTCGATCTGAAACCGTCATCGAAACCTACGCTGCGTTTACATCCCAAAACTGCAACTGAAATGTCTATCAGACCGACAGGAAATCGCTTGTGTAACAGGTCGGCCAATGAGAGTGCACATTAGGGAAGGAGTGTGTGAAAGGCGCCTCTATCCCATAACCGTGTGTGAGCATCATACCAAAATTACCAGTCATCCAAGTGTAATTCTATAAATAGAGAAAAACAATCTAGTAAAATCACTGAGCTGCTTTCACCTGAACCTGATCCTTTGAGGGCCGGTGCGGGTTTTAGGGATGGCCTCTCAATCAGCCAATCACAGTGGGTCCCCAGGACTGGAGTTGAGAACCACTGTTTTATTATTGGCTGATTGAGAGACATGTGCCCACATCGGCCCTCCGTGGGACAGGCTCTCCAGCCCTGGTTTAAGCCATACTGTCCACTTCCTACTGCATGCAGGTCACCTGCTTCGCCCTTTCCCCCAAAAGAGATCTGTTAAAGTTCAGCTTTTATTCGCACTTCCGTCATGCCGGCGATCGTCTGTCTGCCTCGGCCTGCCAATGCAGGCAAACCCAGGTATTAAAAGCTTGCATGTGTCATGTGACCAACCCAGACGCACCAGAAGCAAGGAGGAGAACAGCAACTGGGGAGGGTATTAGTGGCAGCTGCACGAATTAAATATAAGTAACAACTGGCCTTCTTCATTCTTGCATTTGAATATGTAATAAGACAATACTAATCCAAAATACTGCAGTACTACAGCGGCTGGATCTCCTGATGTCAACACTATCATGTTCGACAGAATCAGCAGAATCACATTTGTATGGACTCAGAGTGCTACAGCGTGTTAGCAAACTAAGCAAATTCAGCACCTAACTTCTCTAACTCAGCTTATCTTCCCACAATAGAAAACTTCTTTAGCACAATGTGAGCACGTTTTTACCACCCTTCAAACTACCAGAAGCTGAAAGCTCTTCGGCGTAAGATAACGGAGATGTTTTGTTAAACTATAAGTAGACGTTCGACAAATACCAGCTCTTCTCTTCTACACACAGCAGTGTCATCACAGAGTAGAGACATTTGGATAGCTCTGAATCAAGGTTAATTCGCAGCCTCCATATTTAAAGTTTTTCAGTCTTTTACAGCTCTCCTTTTGATATCTGACACCTGATCACAACTTCCGGCTGAGGTGGTTGCCGCACTGAAAAGCCTGTTAAGGTCACGTGGCCTTCTGATAGCAGTGAAATGGTCATCTGAAAGTGCTGCAAAGTTAAATATTGATGATTTTTTTTTTGCTACGTCTCGATTTCCTGCTGATCTACCTAGTTTAACAGCAAAAAATGCAGCAAGTCTGATGTATTCTACACGCCTGATGAAGCGCAGTCCAAAAACTGAAAAAGCACCAAACGTGTCCTTAAAAAATAATTAAAAAAATAAAAGCGTTCAAACTTTGAATATTAATCTAGAATTCTCCAGGGAATTTTAAATCATATTCAGTGAGCTCACTAATCTCAGATAGATTAGTTGTATTTGCGAAGATCGTAATCTATCCCTAGAATTCAATGACCCTCAAAATACAGTACTAAGCCGATGGTGTCTTTGAAGATTAGTAATTACGGCGAGGGAAAAACTAAATTTTTTGTTTAATTATAGTTTACAGAATAGAACGATCTGGTAAAACAAAAAAAAAACAGTTCGGAAATCGCAAAGCAGATGCCTTTTGGGCAAGAGTCAAAGCCATCACAAATTCTGACAGGTGATCAAAATGCATTTTTTTAACCAAGGCCATGGTATTTAAAAACGTACCATACGTAGTTTTTTTTGCCGTGCACAGACAGCCTGCTTGATGCATGCCTAGGGGTGTCATTAGGGAAAAAGGGATTTTGGAGTTGCACGGGAATCAGGCTCATGCGTGGTAAGAAAATCTGGCCGATGTCAAAGGCGACAAAGATCTGGACAAGGGGACCGGCAGGACCTGCGGCCAGATTGCGTGGGAGTCTCCGCGGGAGGCGCCGTGGAGGTCCTGTCATACTCCCGGCATGGGAAGCGGATGCACCGAGCTCGGCCGCACTATAACCCACAACCCAAAAGAGAAAGTTTAACGATAACAGATGCGGAAAACTGCGACCCGGAGCACTGGAAACGGTACCACGCGTCTGCCTATAAAAAAATCCCACGGTTAACCGAACCACATCATTATCATTCCTTTCTTGAAATAGGAGGTTTTCTGTTTAAAAGAATAACAACCGTCACTTTGTTGAAGTCCAGATATAACTATCTGCATTAATTGATTAACTCAGATCAAAAGGCGAATCGGATGACATTTGGCTGATATAGTGATAGACTGAACTGCAAACTCACACGATCCTATTCAGTTAGCGCACTTGCAAACCGAGTCGGTTAAACTTTTCTTTCTTAAATAACTTTCCCAGACGACCATTTCGAAGTCATTTTGCTACAAAATAGATGCAGGTCTGGATGGTTTTTAACTTAAAGCATAAAAAACACACGAAACCTTACCTCCCTTCATTCACTGGCTCTTGTTGCGGCAAAATCCCCATTTAAAAAAAATGCAAAATGAGTCCGTTACACCCGCATTTCCAGCCAACTAAAACAGCGGGTAAGATTGAAACAAAAAATATGTGGGTCTTCAAAAGTGCACGAATAGCGGCCGAAGCGCGACGGTAGCAGGTCGCCGAAGTGAGTCTGATCGGGGAAACAGCGACGAAGTATCAACAGAGGGCTTAAAGGGCGGGGGGCCCGGGAAGCAGGAAAGGCTTCGCCGACTTTTTTTTAAGCCGCTCCCTGCCTTTGCGCTCTTTAAGTGGCGAGTAATAGATGTGAAGGAGCGCCGCTCCGGAGTGAGCGTTTAAGATTTCATCATTTTACTGGTGCTGTGAAATAAGCTCGGGGGGGATGAGAGGGGACAGGGACTCAACCTCATCTTAGACCTGAACTACATGAGTTGCGGGAGATTCGCGAAGGTGCTCATTCCTCACGGGTCCCCTGTTGATGACGTTGTGATTTGAGGTGCCGGCAGCGTGATCCCACACTTTGCAAAAAGCTGATTCTGTTCCAGGGTGATATGATGGTGTTTGACACTCGCCTACAAACTACAGCAGGGTGGCCGACTTTGGTTAGCTGGCTGGCGTGAGATTTTCAATTCGAGACAAGTCTGCACACGCATTTACATATATGTGACTGTTTTATCACCTTGTAAATAATCTCTAGGGTTTGCAAACTGCCCCAACACCTTTGATGTAGCTAATTTTAGGTTTATAATGGAATAATATAGATTTGCCGTAAGATTTCTTGAGCGTGAGAGTCTAAAAGCTTGAGTGTCACGCCAGATGCGTGAGAGTTTGCAGCCCCTGCTACTTATCAGCATCAGGCTGTGTGCGTATACACGGTTGTCACAGATACAAGCATCACTTTGTCCTAATATAAACCCAACTAGTTTAAATACATATCAATTAGCCTTGAGATGCGTGTATTTAATGTCGTGTGCACTCACTTTGCTGAGTTCTAAACGAAACTGGGAATTAATTTACCTAGTATTATTAACGCATTTTTTTAATGTTTGACTTCAGATTTTTAGTGTGTATTATATTTTATTTTATTTTGACGTAATAATGACGCTAATCATTTTCCCCCCCAAGACCCTGACCGCGGTTAGAGGATGGATTGATGATGACTCTTATCCAATTGATGACATGATTAATATTATACATATAATCATTTTATTATGATTATGTTGAGTGAGTCTCTGATCACGTGTAGCTCATATCTGCCAACACCCAGGTTTGTGTGAACCAGCATTTTCACAGTTTGTCTTTCTGAATCACTCTTCTGTCGATCTCAGAAACACGTTTCAGACTCTGCTCACGCAGAGACAGGAAGGGTAATAATGAAGATTGTGAGGGGAAAAAAAGGAAGGTTGACCTCCACAAGCCCATGTAATAGACATACAGAAAGGGGAAGAACAGCTGTGCTCTTAATTACAGCGGCATCAGATGGGAGATTCCAGCAATGTGAGACGGCCCCTACTGGACAACTTAGGATTCATTATTGAACTAAGTGAGGCAGAAGTACAATCTGTTCTCTGATCAGTTCGTATTGATGCCCACATAGCAGGACAGTGTGAGTCCCTGTAGGGTAGAGTTCTCATGCGTAAGTCACAGTGTGAATAGAAGAGCAGAAATGGAAAATCCATACAAGGGAGACCTCCGGGCCCTCATTGTGAGAAATCGAACAACCTCCAGCCCGAGGAGTCTCCTTTCCTTCCGCAAAAACAATTTGACTCTGATATAGACAGGAAGTAAGCCAGATGGGAAACAGGAAGTGTCTGAGACAATACAGATTCTGAGGTGTGGCTCAGCGGGTGAATGTGCACTCAGAGTGCTGGACAGAGCGAGTGTCGCTTGAGCTTCTGAAGCACCAATGTCTACTGAGCCTCCCATTCCAAGGCTGCCTCTTCAAGGGTTTTTTTGGTGATTGAAAATAACGCGTGTAGATTTGCTAATCATGTTAGGTGTCCAAGTAAAACCAAGCTCTAGTGTCACAGGCTGAATGTAAAGTAGATAACCAGTGAATTGAAGTTGCTTTTGAAAGGTTCTCTACTGATTTTATTTTTTTTTACTGTTTTATTTACTTCAGACTTTGAATGTAAAAGTGTATATAGACAAAGGGTAGTCAAAATAGCAGCAAAATCTAATAATATATGTATATCAAGGATCTATTATGGATTAGGCCCATGCTTTACCATCAGAACAGCTACAGGTTTACTGTCATAAGTGTCTCAATATAAGACCATTCTTCAAGCAGTGAAGCCTCCAGTTCTTAAGGCAGGGTTTCTTAACCTGGTAATCAGGGACCCCCAGATGGTCCCCCCTCCCAGCTCCCTGTCAGAGTTCCTGGTAGGAAGCTGGGAAGGAATGAAAATGTGGACTATCTGGCAGGGATCTGATAGGGAACAAAAACGTGGACTTTCTGGCAGTCTTTGAGGACTGAACTGGGAAACACTACTTGACAGCACTTGACAGCATGAAGGAGATGTAAGTCTAGTTTACTTCAAAGTCATGAGGTATTTCTGTTTTTTTGTCCATCCACTGTGTATAGGTGTGTGTTCAGTATATATATAGACATATAGAGACCAATTGACTATGGTGTCTGTATAAGGACCAGATTATACCAGATGCATACGAAAACAAAATGAGTACATGCTGAAGTGTTCTTTATAGATCAAAGCATTAGTTATCACGTGCAAATCTAACATTACGATAACTGAATAATCTGCGTGGTGGCCGACCAAGATCTGTAACTTCGGCAGTCGTTTTGAGGACTGAAAGAGAAGACAAGCCTTGCAAACGATTCTGTTGAGGGATGTTTGTCCTGGTTTTGTGACTACTGTGTAACAACCTCAGGTAAATTTCATGGGATCAGAAATGACATGATATGGCTGAACAAGCAATTGTGAAATTGACTTGGCATCAAATCATTTTCACGGTGAATCTCGTGAGGGTACTTTACTAGATCCTTGCTAACCCCGTGTGGAACCCCCGTGTGATCAGCTCTGTATTTCGTCCGCGTTTCAGTTTGTTTCCCCAGTCCGGACATTGTATTGTCCGTCTGCGGTTTGCCTGCCTTACCTGTAATTAAACCCCGTATTCCCCGATATCATGACGTCTGCGCCTTTGTCTCCATTCCGTCCCCGCTCGGCACGACAATATTATTATAATTAAATGTATTAATGGTTTATTATTAATATTAAAATAATGAATAAGAAATCTTTATTTTAAAATGTATTTTATTATATAATAATAATTACTGTCTATCATTGTCTAAATGTATTTTTACTGTCTAAATATATGTATTCGGTTAGTGTAAACATGCGCGATGCTATCACAGCGAATGCGAGGCTGAGACTGAAGCTTTACCCTTTGTTTCCGCTGAGAGACGTGCCGCGTGACTCATTTCCCCCCGGCGTTCACGGTTTGACTTCTGAGATTCAGATCGAGCTCTAGGTAATTCTTTTTCTAACTGGTTGGTTCAACTTTTAAGAAATTCGAGTTCTAATGAGTTCGAGAACTGAGGTACCACTGTATATGAATTGCTTATCTAGTATATGGTTGCAGTAAGTCTGCAGCCTATCCCAGTATACACAGGCCATGTGGCAGGAGTACCCTGGGTAGGGTTCCTGTCCTTCACATAGCACTCACGCTGACATACTACAGGCTATTTATAGCCACCACTCCACCTAATTGCATGTTTACCACCAGGCAGTAAGGCCAGAATCTGGGGGGTGTTCCGCAAAGCAAGAATTCTCAGTTAGCAGGGTTAACTTAAGCTAGAAGTTGTGATTGGCCGATGGGAATGCTCCTTACTTAAACTCCTATTGGATGATCATTACTTCTAGCTTAAGTGAATCCTGCTAAATGAGAAATCCTGCTTTGTGGAGAAAATTCACTCGTGGGAGTATTACTTACACAAAAATGTTCTAAGGGCAGAAGGAACAATGGTTGGTTCAGAGAGATAAGCAATCAGATTGGGTCAAAGCAACCAGAGAAGGCATGGCCAAGACATCCAATTGGTTGGTCCCACCTCCTCTAGTTCCTTGGACCCACCTTCTCTAGGACCCACCTCCTCTTCAATTTGATTGGTCATCTCTCTGAACCAATCATTGTTCCTTCGGCATGGTAAGTAAAACTTCCATGAGCAGGACATCCACAGAACCGTGGGAACATTAGAATGCCACACAAACACAGCTGGAGGTGGGATCCAAACACAGTCTTGGAGGTTTGAGACAGCAGAACTAGCCACTAAACCATGCCCATGCAGAAACAGCAATGCAACGAATTTATTACTCCAGATACTTCAGTGAGCAGTATCCATCCATCTGTCCATCCATTTTTTATACCTGCTTCTCCTATGTATGGTCTTGGGAGTCCAGAGCCAATCCCAGAGGCCTCAGGCACTAGACAAGGGTCAACCCTGGACGGGGCACCAGCCCATCACAGGGCTTATGCACACCATATGGGCAATTTGGAATTTCCAGTTCACCTTAGCATATTTTTGGACCGTGGGAAGTACCCAGGGGGAACCCCACAATGACACAGGGAGAACATGCAGGTGTGAGGCAGTGATGGTGCCCACTGTCCCATCCTGGGTGAGCAGTATTTATTACCATGGGCAGACTAACTTCTCTGGGGGTTCCAGACTGACATGAGTTATGGGCTCCCTAAGGTGGCCATTTAAGCTATTTTTGGAACTGAAAGAGAAACGAGAGGTGATTAAATACGATGGGCGATAACCTGCTAACCAAAGCGCATCGCACCAGCGGTAAAACCCACTGAACGGGGTGGGGGTGTGAGTTCTGTCGATAAAATTCACCAGATGAGGGGAGGGTGGTATCATGAACAGATCAAATGGCCAAAGTTAAAATATATTATAATATTTTAACCAGAATTGTTATATGAATGGTTTGGAGCGGGCATTTGATCAGCAGGGGCCCAGGGTCATCCACCCACCCCCCCCCAAAAAAAATTCCATCCCTGTTTATTACATTATCTGTTCAGCGGATGCTTTACCTCAAAGCAACATTGTTTCTGAGAAAGAAACATCAGAGAGTCTCTGGGGCATATGGACATAAGGGTTTTTGCTAAAAAGCCCAACAGTGACATCACTCTGCTGACCCTGGGACTTCACCCCGGGGACCTTCTGATTACAGGTATGGTGCCCTAGTACAGTGTTTCCCAACCCAGTCCTCGGGGGAACCCCGGACAGTCCACGTTTTTGCTCCCTCCCAGCTCCCAGCCAATCAGGAACACCGAATACCTGGTACAGGTGCACTGAGAGCTGAGAGGAAGCAAAAACGTGGATGGGGCTCCACGAAGACTGGGTTGGGAAACACTGCACTAGCAAATGCACCACTCTAACCCTGTTCCTGTCAGACACCTTGCAATGTCACCCACTACCTCTTTTCTAAATGTTCTTGAAAAACCTCAGTCTGATTAGTGATATTTGTTTTGTAGACAGTACTTCTACATTTATGCCCACATTGAGCAATTAATGGAAACAACTGAGAAATTACAATCTTTGTTATTATGCAATAAAATGATAACAACTTAAACTGGGGCTTGATGCATGATACTGACTGGCCCGTGAACGGCTCTGCAGAGGATCTGTAAAGACTGTAGCACAATCTGATGCACAGAGTGCAACTTTAGAAGGAACTTGGCAAGCCAAAATGCTAACTGCAAGCAGGAAACAAACTGCTCTTTTGCAGAAGGTGTCATTTCAGCTCAGACAAGGCCACGGCTAATAAATGACAGCCAACTGCCCAGACTGGTTCCTGTTTATTTCAAAAAGCAGAAAATTATGAAAAACCATACAGATGGATTTTTCTTTTATTCTTCCTGACCAGACAGTTGTTTGTGAAAGCCCAGATGGTGACCTTCCCAAATATTGCCTATTCTGTAAAGAGTATGTATGTCTCAGGGTTGGGGTTAACTTTCACATATTCTAAATGCTGTGACCCCCCTCCCCCTACAAAGGCAGCAGGAAGAAAACAAGAAGAATGCATTGTGTTCTAGCGTCCAGCAGAGTCCTTCCGGTACATAAAAACATTAGCATCAGTGTCCCTCTGCTGTCATACGCTATGACCGTGTGGATGGGGTGGGGGGGGCAGGTCCACTTCTGAGCTCAGCATCAGCCGAAAACACATCAAGTGGGGAGATAATCCATCTAGTTAAGGAAGTGTTAAGTAAACAAACATAGCTATTCTCGGCGAACACAGAAATAGGCCAACTTCCTACTGTTCATATGCACAAAATACTTTTTATTTTGGTCAATCAGGTTCTAGATTTCTAAATCTCTACATGAAGAACGCTACAGCTGTGAACTCTACACACATTCTGTTTATTTTTTTTCACAGTCTTTAAAGTGAAAATCTGTTGCCTAAATTGTGTAAGCTGTTACGCATTTTCCTACAAGTGAAACATTGTGTAAATCACTTGAAAAGTGACAGTATATAAAATGTAGAAGGAGATGAAATACAAAGAATGAAAATGTGTGATATAAGATAACATTATAATAAAAGACATTTGTATGAAACATTATAAATTATATTAGGGTTTTGGTGGGTTAATTTTAGTGGCCTAAAGAAATTTTAGCTAGTAAAAAATACAAAATACACAATAACCAGAATGCAGAGCAAGGCCACAGCACGGAAGCCATTTTGGATCGGCCTGTATTCCGACGGTGGCCCCTGCCCCCCCTTCATATACCTGCCCTAGACATGCTTTGTACTGACGTAACCTTGGAGTTGACATCATCGCCGCATATGTTCCACGGATGACGAGGAGGCCTTCTTCTGAGACGACAGGTGGAGAGTCTGAAATCCCATCCACTTTCACCCTCCTGCGTTTCATACGCTTTCGGACATAGAACGACAGCAGCTGGTGACCAAACTCAGAGCCCGGGCCATTCCGTCAGGGAGCGGGGGCGGCCGCACAGGAGAGAGCAGAGCTCCTCTGAGGAAGTTCTCTTTCCCACAGCTAAGAAGAAGCTCGTCTCTGCGAATGCCCGTGCCGTTTTCGTGCCTCCTCTTCCCCTCCGCTTCCCCTCCGCCCTCCTGCCGGAGACCTCGCCGGGCCTCCCCACCCTCCTCGCACAAGGCCCCCGCTTCCATTCGTTCCGCAGGGGCCGTTCATCTCCGGGAAACTGATACGTCTCCTTGTCCGGCGGCACGGGGAAAGACAAAAGCCGCAAGATGTGGGGGCCTGTCCGTGGGAGGAGCTTCTGTGCCACCTTTGGGGAGGAGAAAGAAAGGCAAAAGAAAGCGAAGGAGGCACAGGGGAGAAAAGGCTTCTTGCCAGAACGTGGGCGGTTAAGGAGGCACCTTTAAGTGATACCTTCAAAGTCATTTTTTTTTACTGTATACACTGCACTCCACTGAAAGGGAACAGAAAAAAAGCTCAGAAACTTGGCTTCAACTAATCACATGCAAAGCCACAGAGTTGACCCTAGTGTATTTGGGCTGATGTCAGGACCAAATCTGCTTCTCTCCGAGCATGCAAAGGCTAAAGCTATTTCAACATATCGCTAGGAGTTCCTTAAAAGCTACTAACAGGTTCTTATACGGCCCGGACAGGCAAGGAGAGCACAACGTTGCGACAGCAACAGAGGATGTGGAGCAAATAACTTTATTTACAGCTGCACACATGGACACGCACACGTATGTACACGGGCAGGCCGGTGGGCGGAGCCAGCAGCCACGCCTTAGGACAGGACCTCTTCGTCATCGCTATGTTGACACTTCTCCTCGTTCAAACTGCTCTCGTCGATGTTCTCCAGCGAGTCAGCCCGCTGCAGGGTGAGGTCAGCCAGACTGATGCAGGGCAGGGTGTTCTGCTCCGGGTACATCCAAGGCTTCAGGTTGGGGTTGTGCTTCCGCTTCCACTCCGGGTATTTCTGACAGGCCTTGTAGATCCTCTTCATAGCCTGGTAACAAGCAGCAGTCTGAGAGCAATGCAGTAGCACTGGTGGCCTTACCTGGCCCAACAACCTGACACCATGTAAGAGATACGTAGACCAATCATGTTAACAGGTAGATAATATTACTGGTATGTCATTACAAGAACTCACCACCAGGGGGAAGCAAAATTACATTTGCTAAAAGAAGGTACGCATAGTTCTGGAGACATATGAGCAAGTAATGAAAGGGTTTTTTGTGCACGTTCTGCATTTTATAGGCATGGTGTCACGAAGTACACCAAGGGAAAGATGATGATTAATAGACTAGAATACATTATGATTATGTTTCACAACAGAAATTATGTTTTCATTCAAGGTGCTGATGAATTGATTGCAGTGCATGAAGTTTGTTACTTTCTGTTGTTGCCATTCAGCTGCCAAGCAGCCAGAATCAGAGACAGAATATCTGGGCAGATGGTAGGCCTTTAGTATTGTTTTTTTTCTGGAAGCAGGAAGTGCAGCAAGTTTATTTTTTCAGTAACATTAAATTTTCAGAACCGCGGAAAATGACAATGAGAGTGCTCTGCTGTTTTATTCATAAAGATGCGTTATGATAAGGATTGTTTAGGATCTCCATAGGATTCGTGTTTACAGCATAAACATGCTTCCGGGAATCAAACTTTGATGCATAAATGAACTACAGCAGCAAGTACAAGGATACAGTAATGCATCGATTAACGGCGGGGATACGTTCTGAGTAATGCGTCATTAGGTGATTTCGATGTTGTACGGACACCATATAGTGTACTTACACAAGCCTAAATGGTATAGCCTGATACACACCTCAGCTACATGATATAGCATAAATAATGATTAAAAAGTTACATTAAATACATAAAACAGTAACATAGTTGTTTATTATCATTATCGAGTATTATGTACTGAACATAACTGTGTGTGCTATACTTTTATACGCCTGGCATGGCAGTAGGTTTGTTTACATCAGCGTCACCACAAACACGTGGGTAACATGTCACGCTACAACATTATAACAGCTACGTCACAAGGCAATAGGATTTTTTTCAGCTCCTCGTGGGACCACTGTCTTATTCGAGGTCCGTCACTGAACGAAACGTCATTATGCGGTGCAAGACTGTATATCTACTCTCTCACGCAGTCCGTTAGGTAATATGTGCAGCCTTAAAGTATGTGAAGACATGTCTATGGTTACCTTTGGAGCCACAAATTGAGATACTTTATTCACCACCCACTTCGGTAAGGAACCTGCAATAATAATAATAATTAATAATCATAATAATAATAATAATAATAATAATAAATGGGTTTTGCATGATAGCTTTGGAAAAATGCATGGTAATATACTGTAATAATTGGGTGTATTAATTTTAACATAACGGCCATGTGGGGTTGGGGTAAGTTGAGGCTTCTCTGAACACTGCTTCTGGTCTGCGTGGAGAAATTATCTACAGATGCAGAGTTAGACAAACCCCCCCTACCAGCTTCGGTTAAAAGCAAATTAATTAAACATGCATACTGTGGAGGTCATTTCCTAATATGGGGCACTGCGAGCTACTTTGTTTCGCCGAACAAACGTTCAGTCTGCAGTTACTTAAAAAAAAATGCAGCCTCTCCCTCTTTTATTTGTGCACGCAGTAGAAATTTTGTGACCTTCGTCTGAATGCAGAAGTACAAAAGTGTCTATGAAGTATCCACTGATAGCACTTGCTACCAGTCTAATCATTAATAGCTGCAGCTTTCCCTCTGTGTGCAGACTATTCGCGGTGCCGAAATTGCTCTTCACCTTTTGGGTCCACCTGTGTCAGGTAGAAGAGACTACAGGAGTTCTCCCCGTTCGGCTGGATGAGGTAACCCGTTAGGAGAGACACTGCTCTCACGTAGTCCTTCTTTGGTGGATATTGCTGGAAGAGGACAAGTGATAAGTTAAAGATACTAATCTCTCTCTCTCTCTCTCGTACCAGGATTTTGAGATTGCTTTAAAAACTGTATGGTGACCTACAATGGATGGTCCCACAACAGAGGGGTGCCATAAAGGTTAGAACAATTCCCCTGAGTGGTATGGGCCCTGAAAAATTTGGAACGTAATTGGATTAATCTGAATTGGATGCCCAATTTGATATGCTATCATGAGGCCCAAATCACTAGATGCATCCATGCAATAATGCATTATACTGTCGTGCCTGATCACAAACTAGAGTAACGGTGAAAATTAGTTTCCTTTAATGCCCACCAATACAGCACTGACAGAGGATGAAGTTGAAGCTTGCAGTTTAACCAAAGGTTGGCTTTAAAATTACAGGCAAAGTATTAGCACAGTAAGTGCCCATCCACCAGGGGGCGCTGTCCTTTTTGTCCCTTTTGTGCTTCACCCCACTGCCTCCAAAAACCATCTGGCCACTTTGCTGACCCCGGCTTCAGCCACGCACCGGGTGCTTGATAGAGTAGTTGATGATCAGGTAGTCAGTGCCCAGCGGCAGCCAGGACCGCATGGTGACAAAGTCACGATTCTTCAGCGGGCTGGGGCACCTCCCTGGAAGAAAACAGAGACAGCGTAACAGCAACCTGAAGGTGCGCCTTTCTGAAATGTCCGTCAAAGACCTCATTGTCTAGCTGAGCTAAATCCTGATGCTCCGACGCATGTCTTCTTTAGCCAATGAAGTACGAAGATAAGTTTGACTTTGCAAAACAAACATTAAGGTACCGACTGCCCATAAATTTTATTTCTCACAAATATCTATTGAACTGACTCCTAAACCTGAATTTATTATACAGTTCCAACTGGCATTTCCAGTATAATAACATTTAGAATTCAATAGCTTTGAAAAGCTTTGATTGCATCTCCTGGACATAACATCAGGATTGATTAACCTGAGTAATATTCAGTCTCAAATAACACAGCCAACAATCAAACTTAACTCATTTCACCAGGTCCGATTCTTTATAAACCTACGTTTGACTGGACCATCAGATAGTCAATATCTAAGATGCATGAAGCATTACTTCATGAGCAGAGTGATAACATTTTTTATTGAACAGACCGTACTCACCTATTGCTTCGTTCGGAAAGGCAACTACGTCGTACGTAAGGAATACCTGCTCAGTATGCAAGGTAGTTGTTCTTTTTTCAAACTATATGTTTCAGTTTGTTTCAGGCCTGGAGTACTGAGGAGCAGCCGCGCTGATATGGATGCCTTTGTCTTGTTTTTCATAGATGACCTATTGACACCTCAATCACAAAGCTGTAAAACTATGTATGTTCACTGTACGCATTTGTCCACTAATTGGATGCTATTTCTGTTTCGTGCTTGACACGACAATGACCAGGAAGGGATCGCACGAAAGGCAAAAAGAAAAAAAAGGATAATGAAGACTGGAATGAGGTGATCAGTGAGCGTAATGATGTCACCGACCCTGATATCTCGCCCGCCGCGGCTCTTCGCGTCCCGACGCCTCAGATCATTACCGACGACAGCACACCTTGTGAAAGTTACCCCGGGGGCAATTTAAGTCTCATTGATTGCCCTGCCATTATAGTGTCCGCTGTAAATCAGAGGCAAGCGTAAACCCCCTTCCCCCCTGTCCTTTCCCCACAAGTTATGGTCTTCATAAAAACACCAAGACATTCAACATAGACCACTTTAGTACCCAAACAAATGCCAGCCAAGCAGTGAAGAGAGAATGTATGATCGCCCTTTATAAGTGTGTTCAGTTGCTTTCTTAAAAAGCAAATTATTAATTATTATTTTTCTGCCCACAGCTGATGGTTCGTGCCTTCCTCAAGTCCAAGCTGTTTGCTTGCACCTTGACAGGAAATACCACGTTACGCAGCACGTGACTCAGTGGGCTAAGCCTGTGTGCCTGTAACCAGAAGGGTGCCAGTTCAAACCCAGCACGCCTGTGGGTCCTTGAGCAAGGCCCTTAACCCCCAGCTCTCTGAGTGCTGTTATGGGTGGCTGCCCTTCACAGACAACTTACTCTACAAAAGAGCAAGGTGAGGGAGGTGTAAAGACAAAGTAACACAGTATTTCCTGTCAAGGTGCAAATAATAAAGTATCAATTATTATTATTATTACTCAAGTTTACGCAAATATATGTTGTGTGAGGTGAAACCGTGGCACCAGTTGAACATAATTTACGACATGCTGTCTTAGTTGTGGCGGAACTGTGCACGGCTATAGACAGGATGGAAGGAGAACAGAGAAGGTCATGAGGCCTTCCTGAAGGAGAATAAAGAAAAACTTCCCACAGAAGCCTTTGTGATGTCATTAGATGGCCTTCAAATCCACACCTCATCCAGATAAGACTATGAAACACAGAAGGCATCCATTTATTATACCAAGGAAGAACCGATGACTTAGATTTCCTTTGACAAAAGCGACAATGATATGTCACCACAGACCAATCACACATGTTTGAATGATCGTGTTTCTGTCTGTGGGTATCTAATGCTTTTCTGATTCTGACAGAAGCTTGCAAGACATTGCATGTTGACATGGAGCGATTTTCCTGAGGTGTGAAAATTGTGTTGGGCTGTATGGTACGGTATAGATATGTCACCAAAAATGCCCAGGAAGGTTTGGGAAGGATTATGAGGCTATGGATAAGAAGGTGGCAAAAAAAAACAGCTCCCCTAGTGGTCAGCTGCTTAACTACAGCAATGGCACCCCCCAATACTCACAGGAGTAATATCCGACGTCCGCGTTGACAGTCAGCCGCCCGATGTCGAAGGTGTCGATCATGTTGGTGTCCCATTTCTTCCGGTAGCTTGTGTCATGGAGGACGTCGTACAGAGTCTCCGCTGTAACATCCTTGCAGATGATTTTCATCTAAGAAAACACACACCATGATACTTTCAGTTAAAGTCTTCCATTAAAGTAACTAAGTTTTCATTTTGGAAAGTTCTGGGGCACTACACTGCGATGCATTTTTTGGCAAGAGTCTAACAGCTGTGTCTGTATTTAGTCCCACTGGCACATGTGATTTTGCCAACTCAAACTTCAAATTGAGCAGAATTATGGGACGGATTAATTGTTGATTCAGCGTACCACACATAAATATTTCTGCCCTGATAAGCGGTATCTAAATTATGCTGATGTCATTTTTTAAGTGTTACCAAACCTTTTTTTTTCCACAGGACAATTGGAGACTTACGCAGAGAAACTGGCAACTGGTCAAGGATTATCAGATGGGTCGGGTTTCTGGTGCTGATCCTGCCACTAACCCCCCCGATACACCCTGATTAATTAGCACCACTAACCCTGGTGCACCCTGGGTAAGACGTGCTGTGACACCTTGTCCAGCGGCTGAAGGACATTGACACCTTCAAGTTCCAGCCTCATTTCAGATTTGAAGGTTGACGGCCATATTTACAAACACATTGCAAAGTGATTTATTTATTTGTTTTAAATGCTGAGATTTCTTGGCACACAGAACACATGTTCATAAGCAATAAGCTTTTGCAAATACTTTCATCAGCACATCTAGGTCCCTTCACTGCTCTCCTTCTGGGCTGCATCTACCTTTTCAGGCAAAGATTTACTTTGAAGGGTCCCCTGCCAAGAAAACTGATGATCATTTCACTTTCTCTGCAATGATGGTAATTCAGGGGCCTGTTCTGTCAACAGCTGCCTGGTTTGCCTATATCTGAATCCGCCTCTGCTCTCCATAAGCAGCAGAACACAAAATAATCATAAACGTTAAGCTGAATCTCAATTTCATCACAGGTGGTGCATAACTAATTAAAAGCTTCTACAGTCATGGTATGCAGACATTAGCTCTCCACACACATCTACCTGGGGGGCACAGAGGGTAGGAGTCCATGATGTCGTTGTGATATGTCATTGAGGTGCGGAACATTACCATCTCTGTGTTTCTTACTCATTTTAATGTACATTGTGCCGATTGTGAAATACGCATTTATGGACATTTGAATTATCTGTGTGAGACATGCATGAGAAAAGGGGAGATGAGACACAGAGGCCAGTATGTCAACAGACAAGTGTGATGGTTTCGACCTGCGGACATTCATAGGTTGGGGTTCCGAGCTACAGACAGAAACACGCACTCTCCCAGCTAACAGGGAACATTCCAAGAACTTTAGCCAACGTTACGAGAAGGTTCTTACTGTAACGTTAATGGAAGGTTATTTCCATGTTTTACATTGTAACAAAAGTTCTGTCAATGTCAGCATAACATTATTTCTTGAATATCTTTTTAGCACAAATAGTGTTGAAAAATGTTGTTTTATAATAAAATATTATTTTATAAAAGTGCCATTTTATAAATTGCTACAGTGTTACCTGCTGCCCTACCATGGCCTCCATTTGTTTTTATGCTATTAGACTTAGTAGTAGTAATAGTGTGATACTGTTCTGAGAACATCAGAGAAAGTGGACACTATGAACGTTTCCATACCTTAATAAGAACATTTAATTCGTAAAACGAAAATTTGTTAGCATGGTCTACACCTTTGCAATCCGTTGCCGAATCACACAGACAGTGTTGATTACCGTTATTTGGCGCCATAAAGATCAGGAATCCGTAAATTCTGTTGCTAAATCCAATACACTAATGTGGGGAGTTGGATTCTGCTTAGCTATGGTAACGTTGGCAGGTGCGTCACGGAATCGCCAGTGAGGCGTTTTTTTCAAGGCGCCGCAGCCTGACCAGCACAAAACCTTAGCACAGCAGTCGGGCTTAAACGAGGGTCCGTGTGCAAAAAATCCAAACAGAAAAAGGACTTTCCCAGAACATTTCATTCATTTGATGCAGCTGGACTGTTTGACTGTGTCTCTGGAAATGCCCACCTGCTTAAGAAGTGACCTTCGCTGCAATATGCCCCCGTGCAGATGACAACCAGACGGGCACAGGACTAGGAAGCTTAATTCCTGGTAAAGGGCACAGAGCCACAAACGCAGGGAGCAAGAAACAAAGGCTGTTTTGGAAAGAAAACCAAACAAACGTGAGCACAGCCCACTCAAGCAATTAAACGCGATGTGTGTGGTTCAGCAGGCGCTGATATCACCTTACAAACGGCAACGCAGTAAAAACAGACATGGAGCGGAGTTCACGACAAACAATGAACAGATGGACTGAATCAAAACAAACCTCTAGCCTTCCTGAGATGGCCACTCCCCCCTCTGACATCACCCTATTCCCAACACTTGCTGTTTAGTGTGAAAAGCCAGTGTACTCAAAACAAAAACACAAGCAACAATCTGGTAGCACCTGATCCTCATTTAACTCATAAACATCTAGACTGGCATCTCGATTCTAAACAGACACCAATTATTTGGGACTGCAAATTCCGTTTGAAGACCACTGCTGTGCATTTATGAACACTTCAGGTTGAACACTTTCTGCATAGCAGTGATAATTAAGGGAAGAGAGAAATGATTCTCCATTCTCATAATTTACATGTAGCCGGGGGTGAAGAAGCGAGAGCAAGGATGCTGAATCATGATCAAGTGCAGCCAGTGTGCTCTGGCATCGTGGGTAATTTGGGCAGTCCATTAAGTAGAGAGTGAAAGCATGGATGGTTCATAGAGCATGGTCTCTAAGCTTTGCAGCGTCTGGATTATTTCAGAGGTCATACTAGATGAGGACAAGGGGTACAGATGAATGAACTTCACCAAGAGTACAGGGATGTATATGACTGAGGTCAAAGATTCACCATCTGAACGGCAGTGGTTCCATTAACATCTTCAGTCATACTGCAGAATCAATTCCGTTATAATGGGAGTCCATATTTAGCTAAACTTGCCCAGCAGCATATCAAGTACACAGTGAAATACCATTTCCTTCGGGCCTGCTAGGCTGGTACTCGTAAATAGAAATACAGCAAATTAATGTAGAACATCCACTACTGTGTAACCTCCACCACACAATACAATACAATATAATTATAAATGTACTGTACCACACTGGGCTGAACGAGTGGCAGACACGTGATTATCCTGTGCTGTGTGTTCCTGCACACGCCAGATGTAGAACATTCTTTTCCTCGTGCTCCGAGGTTCCGCGGCAGTTTCTAACATGAACATGCTGTGCTAAACCTCGGCTGTGGCCTTAGATCCCATCACTCTGCCACACCAGCACCCAAGTCTGAAGGGTGCTACATTTGTCGCTTCCCGACAAGCCATTTTTAACACTATTATCAGAGCGACTGAAGGAAAAAGGGGGGAAGCCAGACTAAAGGATCTTTTACAGAGATATGAGTTATTTACTTCCAACTTGTTGTTGTCCTGACGCGTACTGCACTGGATTTCACGTCAGTCAGTCAAGGGAACCAACAACCTGAATATTTTCAGTATGCTTTCTTTCTCCACATTTGCATAACTCAGGTGTTTGTGTGGAAAATTAATTATTGCCCCATTATATAAGACAACTATAACACTACTACACTATAACAATGTAACAATGTATATAATTGTGATACAACAGGTACACAAACTACAAAGAGCCATGTGAGAAAATCTATGACGAATTACTCTCCACATGAACAAAAGAGCACTTTTCTGTAAATAGTTTTGTTTCATCTGTGTCACATGTTGCTAAGTTTCACTGCTGAAAAGCGGTATGATGTTATTAATAGCATGTTTTCTAATTAATAGCCTTTTTCCTAAGGTTAAATGCAGGTATGCAGCGCTTCAAAGGAGGCTCAGGAAAGCCCACATGTTTTTTTTAAATAAAGATTTGAGCGATTTCAGAAACTTTTCGTTCAGTGAGGGTATCGTATCCCGCTTTCCCATCAACAGGTTGTCGATACCTGCTAATGGGATTTGCACCAAACAGAGTTTCATTGTATGACATACAATGACAATAAAGAATCTATCTATCTATCTATCTATCTATCTATCTATCTATCTATCTATCTATCTATCTATCTACCGACAACAAGCAGAGGAGGGCTAGAAGAGAAGGAGGCTGGGTGCGAGACACACACACATACGCACGGAAAAAATGGATCAGGGCTAGAACACCAATTCTTTTTTTCCACATTGAATCCCTATCCGCAGGGTAGGCTTTCACTGTGAATGCAGAGCCCCGCAGTCCAGCGCGGACTAGTGAACGCCAGATGCAAGGCGATCGCGTATTGTCCGAGATCGACCGGCTACCACCATACGTAACCCTACCCCCATCCGTCCTCTGGCAGATTCATTATTCATTACACCCCCTCCACCTCCCCCCCCCCACCCCCTTGTCTCCGAGCAGCCTCCTGACACGAACCTTATCTCGGTCAATGGACAGTTCTTAGAACAATCAATAATTCATGAGCTCAGGGGCTCATCACAAGGCCTCATAAATTATGAAAAGACGTCTATTATAATTGTTTTGCTTTCTCAGTGTTTGGGGACCAGTATCTGTTTTTATCCTGTCTTCTCCCCCCCCCCCCAGAATCTCTCCGTCTGATTTTTTTTCCACATCAGGCCCTGATCTGGTCCTGCTCTCCCGGGTCAGCGAGAGGTCTCCCCTAACCATGTCTTAGCGATACCTGCCTGACACCGATTGGCTGAAGATACCCGGGTTTCAGCTTTAACCGCCTTACGGTGTCACCGCCGTTTTCCACTGTGAATTTTTCACAGCAGCTCCTGAGAGGGAGGCTGGCAGACCTCCCGCTTCTAACGCCGAACCCGATCGCTAATGCTAACGCTAAAGGAGCACGGCTGTTCCGGACATTAGTACTGCAGAAAGGCACGGCGTACTGACTGACAGCACTAATGCTAACGCTAAAGGAGCACAGGCCTACCAAACTCTGCTACTCAGCAAGTGTCCATTATCCCATACTGCATGACCCTGCTAAAGCTAACACTAAAAAAAAACATCT